TTTTTCGATTTGTTCGTCTTTTTTTTTTGGGTCCCCCTGGACCTCGGAATCAGGTATGAAACCGATCGGAGGTATGAAACCGATCGGTACAGACAAGACATGATGGTGGCTGTTTTTTTTTGGGGGGGGGAGGGGGGGCGTAGGTACTCTCTCTCTCTCTCGTGCGCGCGCGCGTGCGCTCTCCTTTTTCTTATTGGTCCCAATGGTGCGCGGATCAGTCATGAAACTGGTCGGAAGATATGAAACTCGTCGGGACAGATAATAGACTTGATGGTGGTGGGCAGAGGAGGGGGTCGTAGTTAGTTCTCTCTCTCTCTCTCTCACACACACACACACACAGGCACACACACACACACACGTGGACACGCACGCACTCTCTCTCTCTCATAGTTCCAAGACCACAAAAAACGAAAGCAACAGACACGGATAACAAACTCACCGTCAGTCATCAAGGTGTGGTCGTTCGAACGCCTTGACGCTGCACAGTTCAAGCCTCAGCGTCCTACATTCAGGATGTAGAGATGGTGTGTCCTGGGTGAGTGTGTGTGAGTGTGTGTGTGTGTGTGTGTGTGTGTGGGTGTTCTGTGTGGGTGAGTCTGAGTATGTGTGAGTGTTGTTATGTTCGCTATACAGAACTCACAAAATGACTTAGCCAGACTGTTTTGTCGGACTTCCACCGACTCATCAGGAGGTTGAACCCCGACAGTCCGCTCGGAGCAGACACCACACTTCATCGACTTTCAAACTGATCGGGGCAGACACCACACTTCATCGTGTGTGTGGGGGGGCGGGTGGCGCATAGTTAGTTAGACTCTCTCTCTCTCTCTCTCTCTCTCTCTCTCTGTGTTAAATGCCCAGTTGGGCGATGTACATATAAACCCGAGGATCCACAATGTGATGAAAAGGACTGAATGGACAATGCAGTGCAACTAGAATCTCAACAAGCAATGTACATTCTGATACATACAAACATGGTGCTTTATAGCGCAGGGAAGACTTTGATACAAGTCCTGACCTGACCGAAACTGGAATACCAATGACTAGCCCAATCAATGTTGCAACGCAGACCCAACATACATCATTCTCATTACAAAGTGTGAAGGGAGCCTGGCGCTATACACAGGAGGAAGGCGCCAGGTCCAGATCATGCACAGACGAAGAGGAGGGAAACAGACGAAGAAGAGGAGGGGTGAGATGGGAAAGTCGTCAACACCAAGTCTCGTTACAAGTCCCAAATAATCGCTCGTCAAAATGTCTGAAGTCCAATGTTGAGTCTGGATCCAAATGTCACCAAGCTCTCTCTCTCTCTCTCTCTCTCTCTCTCTCTCTCTCTCTCTCTCTCTCTCT